CACAAAACTTTAATGATATCGAGTGCTCTTCTGTATGGTCAGTGAAATAAAAATCAGCTCGTGTTGGACGTTTGAAGGAAGGAAGCACTGTTCGTGTCACGCAGCTGTATTTAAAAAATTTTTTGACACTTTTTGCTTTTAGAATAAATAGCAATAAATTCAAAACACAATTAACATAGTAAATATGTATGTAAATAGGTATTTATTTATAAGCTAAAATAAAAGTCAAATAAATAAAACGATAAATTACAAAATTAGCACGTACAAGTCTAAGTTAGTAAATATGCATGTATATGTATGTATGTATGTCCGTAAAATAATATCATAAAACATAAATATTTTTGTAAATTAACGTATCCGTCCACTTTAAAATTTATCTTTTAGGTATTCCCCAAAATATCAAACACTTTGCACATTCTCCCATTTCTCTGTCGCCATGCGCTGCATAGTTAATTTGTTTATTAAGCGATTTTAGCATACAATTAGTAGGTAAATGTGACATTTCGCACTGTTTGATTAATAGTTATCGAATGAATAGGGCGCCAGTCCCTCTCGCTACATAAAAAATGAAATATTTGTGGATTTTCGAAGCTACCTTGCGGTATAACCAATTTAGTCGTATAAAAATATACGACCGTAATTAATGTTTTCTTAAGCTGGGTTTTTTGGACTTCACAATTTTTCTTCAAAGCAAAATAAAAACAACAAAAAGCAAAAAAAAAATGTGAAACATTAAAATGCATGCAAGCAAAACGGCACAAAGAAAAAACAAGCGACTAAAATTTGTCAAAAATATATAACGGGTTTAATTAATTTTTGCGTATTTTTGTATGTACATATGCACATTAGATTGTAGGAAAATTGAGTCAAAAGTATTTTTGCAAGGCAATTTCGAAAAAAAAATGTTGGTGAACCCAGGGGTCTCCTTATTTACATTTTTCAGTGACAGCTACATTCGGCAATCATATTTTTTAACAGTTCTACTGGAATAATAGAAATACTTCCTTAGCAAGAATTTAGTGATTTTTGGCGAATTTTAATTTACTGAAATTGGGGTGGTACCTGGATCGTTCCGGTTACGTAGACGTAGTAGTCAAAACCAATGAAGCTTTTACTCAAGTTTATCACAGTTTTTTCTATCCATTGTTGAAGTTTCCTCTTTTTGGTGAAAAATTGTATTATTTTTCATTACACGTTATATACTTTAATCTTCAGACTGTTGGCGCCCAATCTACAACCCGAAAATCAAGTTTACAGTATTTCCTGTTGGCAGCTTTCTGTTGCTGGATGCTATCTGTAATACCATTTCAACCACGGGAACCTAGAACGGTAAGTGCGAATTAACAAGAAATACATAAATAACTTAAAATAAAACGTACGCTGCTAAAAAAAAAACTCAGTGCGTGTAGTCCCTACGCGCGGAAGAAGTGAAACTTAATGGAGGAAATTCCAGAAAGAAAGAAATGTGCGATATACATACACATGTACTTATTTTCTAATATACATATATAATTTCATCTTCATCTTCATCTTCATCTTCATCTTCATCTTCATCTTCATCTTCATCTTCATCTTCATCTTCATCTTCATCTTCATCTTCATCTTCATCTTCATCTTCATCTTCATCTTCATCTTTATCTTCATCTTCATCTTCATCTTATCTTTATAGTTGTTTTTGATTATATTCTTGTCTTTGCATTAGTCTTTTCCCGCCCAATTGGCGTTTAACGCAGCTATTCGTTTTCTATACCCGTCATATGCTACCTGTACCGTGGCGTTAAATATTTATCGCAAACATAACGGAGCTATAATAATAAAATTTGCTTCAATAATTTGAGTTTAACTTTTTAATACAGGTGGTAGACGTTTGTATAATTTAACTAAATTTTACTTTTGAAACAGGTGGCAACCCTCCTACATTTAGCTAGAAAATACAACTTATTCAAAACCATTTCTTTTGATACCCATATTGGGATAATTCGTTTAACTTAATAAATAATTTGAATTTGATTTTCGTATATGTGGCAACCCTTTAAAAGACTAAAACCATACTGCACATCTGCAGGTCAAGCCCTTTCATGTGACACCTCATTTTTAAAAATCGAACGAACGATACAGATTTTATGACGTGGTGTTAAATATTTAACGCAACCCTCTGCGGCAGAGAAATTTTGAATTCGATTTTCTAACATGTGGCAACTCCTTTCATGGAACTAAAGCTACGTTGCACACCCGAAGGACAAGGCCTTTCATGTGACACCTCATTTTTAAAAATCGAACGAACGATACAGAGATTATGACGTGGTGTTAAATATTTAACGCAACCATCTCCGAACTCGATTAAGAAGTTTCACTTCCATAAAGTTCCATGGGCAACTATGTTTAGATGAAATATTACCTTATTAAAATTATAAACAAAATGCTGTTTGAATGAATGTGTATGCAATTCTATTTCCATTCATTATTCCAAACAAACAAATGCTGTTTGAATGAATGTGTATGCAATTCTATTTTCATTCATTATTCCTGGACTTGCGCCTAAAAGATGCAACTATGACTGCCTTCCGCCATTAGCTTTATTGTAGTANAAAATTATAAACAAAATGCTGTTTGAATGAATGTGTATGCAATTCTATTTTCATTCATAATTCCTGGACTTGCGCCTAAAAGATGCAACTATGACTGCCTTCCGCCATTAGCTTTATTTTAGTCCAATACAGTTTCAGTCAGTTGCCAACTTTTAGGCGTCCAGCGAAACAAAATGTTCATGATAAAAACATAGTAGGCAGAAAGAACCATTCTCTCAATTCGTGGGCCATGATTTTTTTTGAAGTTTGCCAGCATTTTAAAATCATGTAAAATTGAAAATAAGAAAATTAAACTGTTCAAAATTGTACCCCAGCAAAACCAGCGTGACCGAAACTCCAACACACGTTCCCACGACAGTCGGGTCTACGTAACCGGAACGACCCAGATTTATATCTGGCCAAGGACTGTATGCTGCTACAACAACAACAACAACAAACTCCAACACAAACGCAATTTTTATGGTGTTACTAACTAATTAACAACTGTAATAATGTTTGATAGAGTTGAAAAACTTAATCTCAGCTGGAGAATAATCTTCCATTTACTGATTGAAGTATGTACATATCGCACGTTTATAAATCTTTGTTCATATGGAAAAGTAGCTNATCTGTGTTCATATGGAAAAGTAGCTTATGTCGAAAGGCTGGCTTTAGTATAAATCGGCATTCGCAGCATACGATTGCGAATGACTCACTGGCGGTAAGCCGTTGAACAACTTTTAGCAAATAAACGTGGAAGAAATAGTTCCGATACTAGCAAGTCAATATTCTTATTAAGTCTCATCAAAAAATTCCTTGCCGTTTAAAAAATAAAGGGATTGCCGCATTATACTAAAGCCAACCTTTCGACATAAGCTACTTTTCCATACGAACACAGAAATATACAGAACTATTTCAAAATTTCAATTTTTTGGGAAAACGCTATCAATGTTTGAACAATTCATACAGTTGGTATACCAAAAGACAGATAGAAAGGCAGTTGAGTCATCTGTTTGGCTGAACATATTCTCCTTATCAAGATTATTAATTGTATGATGAAATCTCCACAAACGTAAATTTTGAATTGCATTAAAAGTGCGATATGTATTTTGATAAACAATTACCTTAGAATGCAGAACATAGAAGTGTTTCTGTGTCNAGAACCATTCTCTCAATTCGTGGGCCATGATTTTTTTTGAAGTTTGCCAGCATTTTAAAATCATGTAAAATTGAAAATATGAAAATTAAACTGTTCAAAATTGTACCCCAGCAAAACCAGCGTGACCGAAACTCCAACACAAACGCAATTTTTATGGTGTTACTAACTAATTAACAACTGTAATAATGTTTGATAGAGTTGAAAAACTTAATCTCAGCTGGAGAATAATCTTCCATTTACTGATTGAAGTATGTACATATCGCACGTTTATAAATATACAGAACTATTTCAAAATTTCAATTTTGTGGGAAAACGCTATCAATGTTTGAACAATTCATACAGTTGGTATACCAAAAGACAGATAGAAAGGCAAATATCTTCGCCATTTTTCGGGAAGTTGAGTCATCTGTTTGGCTGAACATATTCTCCTTATCAAGATTATTAATTGTATGATGAAATCTCCACAAACGTAAATTTTGAATTGCATTAAAAGTGCGATATGTACTTTGATAAACAATTACCTTAGAATGCAGAACATAGAAGTGTTTTTGTGTTNATTTTTTTTGAAGTTTGCCAGCATTTTAAAATCATGTAAAATTGAAAATAAGAAAATTAAACTGTTCAAAATTGTACCCCAGCAAAACCAGCGTGACCGAAACTCCAACACAAACGCAATTTTTATGGTGTTACTAACTAATTAACAACTGTAATAATGTTTGATAGAGTTGAAAAACTTAATCTCAGCTGGAGAATAATCTTCCATTTACTGATTGAAGTATGTACATATCGCACGTTTATAAATATACAGAACTATTTCAAAATTTCAATTTTGTGGGAAAACGCTATCAATGTTTGAACAATTCATACAGTTGGTATACCAAAAGACAGATAGAAAGGCAAATATCTTCGCCATTTTTCGGGAAGTTGAGTCATCTGTTTGGCTGAACATATTCTCCTTATCAAGATTATTAATTGTATGATGAAATCTCCACAAACGTAAATTTTGAATTGCATTAAAAGTGCGATATGTATTTTGATAAACAATTACCTTAGAATGCAGAACATAGAAGTGTTTCTGTGTCTTAAAGAGTTTTTTTTATTAAGTTCACAAGAGTACAATCAAATAACAATTCGGTCAGCAGCTTAGAAAATAAATATAGTCAATATATAATAGCGGTGGCAAAAACTGCTTCAGTGTATATGTATAAAATATAAGGTTTTTGCACAATGCACAAATGCATTTTCATTTTTTAAAACAGCAGAGTAGCCGTAGGTTCCCAGTGCATTTTTAATAAAAAAAATATCAAATATTAATTGGATAAACTAATGTTTTTTATAAAAAGCTTAAGAGTAAGAGAATCAGAAAATGCAAGTAAAAGAAATAATACATTTTATGTATGTAGTTGAATTTGACAATGCGAGTGACCCAAAACTTTTTAGTATACTTGTTTGTTAAAATTCAAACCGTACATGTTTCTATATGTATGTAGGTGCATGCCATTTATAATACATTTTAACCACCTGAACACTAAATGAAAATATGTAGCAGCTTAACACTAGTTTAACAAATAGTTAACAATGTTTTGCGCCAAATGGCAATAATTGTGCACAACAGCAGTAGTATTTTATTTTATTCCACGCGAGCTATTAACTAGTACTAGCAATTTTCTTGCTACATATCAAAGTACAAATTACAATTTTTTGTCATACTAACTAATGTCCTACATATTATATTTTTAAAGTTGTCATTTGCCTACACAGCGCACTTTTACACATCCACACATATGTATGTTACTAAAATTATGTATTTAAAGTTCCCTACTACTTTGTATTAATATCTGTGTGCTACACTTCAATATAAATAGTTTGCTCCTATAAGCTTACAAACTAAATATGCTTTTTGGCTTCATATGTTTTTAAATTAACTATGCATGATGTTTGCTTTTTAATTAGTCCTTTTAAATGCGGCTTGTACTGTTTAATGATGGGGATTAAATGATTCAGAGTTTCTTCAGTTGTTCGTAGGTAATGAAGAATATAATATTCCATGGGCCCATGCGCACCCATGTGGGTATAAATCCTTTGTAGAGCGCTAGCATACCTTCATTGCGGACGGTCTGAAGGTAAAGAGAAGATACAAATTATGAAAGAATTTAAAAACAACGCAAATTAGCATTTAAGTGGCAGAATTGGTTACTCACTTGCACCGCACAATCAAAACTACCTTTGTAAAGCTTTGGGGTTCTCCCCACCGCTACACCATCTACAATTGTTAAGTGTTTTTGATTCATAAGACGGGTCTGCAAAGAAAACAACGCATGTTTCAAATTACTTAGCTGCTCAACTAACAATAGGAATAAATAAAGAATACGAAATGTATACCCTTATCACATCTATAGGTGTCGAGGCAATAGCGCTGCCCAAACTGGCAATAAAGCTTGAACTGCAAGTACGAAAAATATACAAAATAAACATCCGCACAGCTGCTTTTCACTTATAATTTACTCACATGAAGTGATTAGCTACATGATCGCCAAACGCATTCATCAACTGCATTTTACAGAAATCATAAACAGGCAACTCGACTGAGGCAATAACAACGGCACGTTGTGCGGTGGGGCCAACGCCACACCATAGGCCGCGCACACCCTCATACCGATAGATTTCTAGAAATGAGCCCAGCAAACCATGCTTATGCACTCCTTTCCCGTGCACTTGCATGCGTACTTTCAGCACATCGGTGGGATTGGCAATCGCAGATGAAACTGCACCCGCTGTTGCCGCACACAAAATATTCGCCCATACACGTTCAGCGCCCGTTTCACGATCGATTAGCAAACCATGATTATTAGCATACTTCTTGAGTGTGTAGTAGGTGCCGAATTTAATGGTGCCATAGGTTGCCTGACGCAGTACAGCCGGCCAAATGCTGTGATATCAGAAAATGTTTTCACTAGATATTTAGTAATTGTAAGCGAAAAATGTATATACTGTTACTCCCAAAATTGAGCGTTCTGCCCTTTTCTGTTAATATTCGCAATGTTTTACATACAAAAAAAAACTATAATTTTGTATTAAAATATGGCTTATATTTTAGCAAACTCCATTAAAAGCCAAGAATGATACTGTGTACAAACAAGTAATTTTTAGCAAAAAAAAACCGACTTCAACTCATAAACAAAAATATATATATATATATATCTCATGATCCACTGATCGGATCTTAACCAGATTAGTATGGGACCACCTCTGAGACACTACCTTTCCGATGCAAAACGAATTATCGAAATCGGTTGACGGGGTCCAAAGTTAACGGTAACATACAAAAATAAAAAATGAAAAAAATAAAAAAAATATTCCGACGAACTGATAACCTCCTCCTTTTTTGGAAGTCGGTTAAAAATTTTAGCATGTAAAATATTGCGAATATTAACAAAAAAGAGCCGTACGCTCAATTTTGAAAGTAACAGTATGTATTTAAATGAATTATGTATAAGAAGTATATGCGATGTAGCAATAAGGTAAGTATTATGGTTATTTATAAAACGGTCATGCCCTAGTCGCTAGCTACATACATTTTGTAATCCTAATGAACAAAAATCACAATGATTTATTTGTTTATATTATATATTAGATTTTATTATGACTAGCTGCAATTAGTGAAGCGAACGCTGATTTATGGCTGAGATAATAGCTAATGGCGATCATTTCAGTGGCCGAAACAATACAAGACAGTTTAGTGTTTTATTGAATTGAAAAGAAATCTTATGGTAATTATTATTTAATAACGAGTAGTGAAACACATAAACAACAAAAGAGACAAGTAAACGATTAGATAAGAACATTATGCCGCCGCTCATATTTAAATAAAAATAAAAATAAAAAAATATCTATAGCATATTTTTCATTCATGTTTTTCGGTAAAAACAGAATGTGTATAAATAAACTGCAGCAGCATTATTCGATAGTGAATATCTGAATATTTTAAAGCGTGTTTATAGCTTTAATGAGTCTCCTATGATTGATATCGGCCGCTGTGGTGTAGTGGTAAGCAGTGCGCGCTTCCACTCCGCAGCACCTGGGTTCAAACCCTGGTCAAAGCAACATCGCAAAAAATATAGAAAAAAGGTTTTTTCTTAACAGCGGTCGTCCCTCGGCAGGCAATGGCAAACCTCCGAGTGTATTTCTGCCATGAAAAACAGCTTCTCATAAAAATACAATCGCCGTTCGGAGTCGGCGTAAAACTGTTGTTGTTGTTGTTGTAGCAGCATACAAATTCCCCAAAGACTTTTTGGGGAGTGTTGCTGGAGTGACAGTCCTTGGCCAGATATAAATCTGGCTCGTTCCGGTTACGTAGACCCGACTGTCGTGGGGCGTAAAACTGTAGGTCCCTCCGCTTTGTGTGACAACATCAAGGCGCACGCCACAAACCGGAGGAGAAGCTCGGCCAAACACTAACATATGTGTAAGCGCCAATCTATTATTATTATTATGATTGATGTAACCCGTGACTTGCTATTTATAAGCCTTATTTCTAGAGCCTGCGTTTCTTTAATGACAGAATACTTAATTATCTCCTTGTGAATTTTTAAAGACCAAATAAAATTGCTGCATAAAGCAAATACCAACTACCCAATATACTCTTGCTCGCAGCTGTATCAACTGAAACACAGGGAACATTTTGTAAATAAAAATTTCACAAAACAGCTGAAAGTAAAAATAATAAATAGCCACACAATATTAGTACGTGAATCTCGATGCTTACATGCAGACAACCAGAGCTGTTTGTCTTGTTTTTGTTACAAAGCCTGAACAAAAAAAAAAACTGAAAAGCGATGATTTTAATAAAAATGATTATTTTGCGACTTTCTACATATAAACATATTTGTGTATTCATGTTAAATAACGCTATATATTCAAAGTATAATTATTTAATTAAAAACTTGATATCAACTAAACCAATGACACACATAAATGCACATTTAAAATCTGAATTCGTTTCTTTGTATTCTTGTTGAAGACTGCACTTACCCCGAGTATAGCGCTTTTAGTCCCTCCTCTTGCGATATCTTAATGAATGCGTCAGTCATTCCACGATACCGCAATTGCGAAAATGTTTGATCAATTTTTTGACCTTGAATTTGGAGGCGCGTTTTTGTTGTATCAATCGGAAAAGTACCTGTGGGGTGTAACGGGTAAAGGAAAATTATATAAATAATATCGTATTAATAAGCGTACAAATGCACAAACAGCACAGACATATGCATACATGACTGGAGCAAAAATAAGCACGAGATAAGCGTGTCGTTGCGCTGTGCTAGCAACAACGTCAATTATCGCAGCGCAAAATTGCTACCTACAAATACGCTGCGATACGGTGTGACAGCGCTTGTTTACCCACTTATCTACATACATACATATGTATTTACACATACAATAATTTGGAAATAATACGTTGTGTACATGTAAATAAACATAGCGCTCTTGCGTCATGCTGGACTCATAAATAAGGAGAAAATCACAGTTGAACCGTGCCATTTTCTTTGCTTATAATTGTTACTACGCTTCATATTGCATTTTATAGCCTTTTAGATGCAAGAAGTACGTCTTGGCACTCACCAAATTCCGCTGTGATTGACGCAAGTCCACCATAAACGAATGGTCGCCAATCCTTTACCTCATTCATGGGCACTTGCTGCTTCCGACGTGACGGTGTTTGCGACTGTTGTTGCTGAAGATGATGGGGTTCCGGCTGTTGAAATTCCGTCGTCGTTGTTCCTACACCTTGCATCACACGTGTCGTTTCGTATTATTTTCTAATTATTATTAATTCTATGCGCGAATACTATATGTTTACACAGCTTTTATTTTCGCTTAGCGCTCATTTATAAATAACCACTGAGCGCCTTTGTAAATTATCAATCTGATAAGGTTAGAATATTTTCGCATATATTCCTTTTTTATTGTCGTTCGTTCATTCACGAAAACGACAATCAGCTGATTTGAAGAGAAGTATGTTCAGTGGACTACGTTTGCTTAGGGTTGCATTTGGTTTAAGAAATATTTTAGAGAGCAAAGAACGTACATTTACGTTCTTTGGTATGCCGATCCCAGAATACCCCGCATCAGAGATCTCAACACGGAAATTCGTCAACTAGTAAACCTCCATAACCTCTAGTGAGAGTAAGCTTTGCTCAACAGTAAGGTTATTCTCCGACCCGACGAAGCGCGNTTTTATTGTCGTTCGTTCATTCACGAAAACGACAATCAGCTGATTTGAAGAGAAGTATGTTCAGTGGACTACGTTTGCTTAGGGTTGCATTTGGTTTAAGAAATATTTTAGAGAGCAAAGAACGTACATTTACGATTGAGCTGAAATTACTTTTGGTGACCGCGGTTTGTTGGATCCGGAACGATGCGCGAGTTATTTTAGCCAACGTAAATGTATAAGAAGCGACAAAGAACGTAAATGTATAAGAAGCGACAACTCGTTAAAGTCGGCGAGTGAGGTCTGAAAGGTTGAGATGAGAGGTTCTTTGCCAGAAGGCAGGAAAAACTGCCAACACCCAGTGAGACTCTTGCTTTCACCGGTGGTGAGGTTCAGGTAGCCATCGCGAAGGCGAAAGCCTCCAAAGTCAAGACCTGACGGAATATGTATGCTGATGCTGAAAAAATTGGGTCCTGCGGGACCAAAAGACCTCACCAAGGTCCTCACTTTGTCCATGTCCATTCTCATCTTCGCGGACATTTGGAAAACTGGGAAAGTGTTTCTGCTGGTTAAACTTGGTAAAGCGGTCAAAAGAGGAGAGGAGAACAGACCAATAGGAAACCGTTGGAAAATGGGGGAAAACGGCATCTACCAAGGCAAACTGAGCAGGTTGAAGTGGAATATAACCCAACTAACGGAAACCGTAGGATTTTTAAATAAAAGAAATTATTCCATGTTGGTTGTCAGGCGATGTTGTATAAAAAAGGTTAACTAAAAAAAGTTATGATGGTATTTTAGCCCCGAAGTTCTTGAGCGTAGGCGGCCTTCGGCCGAACTTAGGGGTTATAACCCTCAGTAAGTAGAATTCCCCTTTCTGTGTTGCCAAAGAAGGGGGGCTGAACACCTTTCGGCCTTCGAATACATATTTTCCAAGGAAAGGTTTATATTTTTAATCTTTGCTGGGTTATTTCTTATTTTCTTTTGTGTCTCATCCTTCTTGTATATTTTGTAGTTTGACAGCTGAACACCGCCATTTAATTTGCATATGCAACCAAAGGCAGACGCGTGATTTTGAAGGTGCATTTATTTAATAAATTGTGATTAATTGGTTACAATTAAAGTAATAAGGAAAGGTATAACTAATCGAACAAGTGTAAAGTGAAGGGGAATATACAAATGTATTGGTGAATTGGCTGCCTTAAGGAGAATACGAGTGATAAATGTACGCTAATTCCCGAATTAAAAAAAGTGCATATTTCAAACCGGATTTCTAAATAAATTAGTGGCCGAAAATTAACAAGGTAGGTATTAAAATAATGTGTAGGCCCTTGACTACGGGTGTGTGGAATTTTTTTTTGGAGCTGGCCACCCCTTTGGGCGCAGTACTCGTAATAGTTGGGTCACTTACTAAACAGTTCCCATTTTTTCCTTTCCCGTAATAAATAAACAGCAACGATTTTATTTTTTAAATATTTTTTTTTTTGTATATTTTTCACAATTCTTTATTGATGTTTATTTATGTCTGTGTGTGTTTTGTTACTTTCATTTTACTTCACTTTAATAGTATCCCGTTTATATTCAGTTTTAATATTCATTATTAATTCAATTGTTACTTATACATTTAACAGCAATTTAACACAAAGCTAAGCAATTCGTCTTCATTAGTTTTTTCATGTCTTTGTTTCCGTTTTTTGTTTTTCTTTCACTTGATGCCACCATTCAAGTACATATGTATCTCAATTACATACATTATCAATGCTTTATAACTGCTCATCAAATGCAATACAATTCAATAAAACTTATTTCCTTTATTTTAATTATTTGTTAATTAATTTTATCATATTCAACTGTAGTATATGTATACGATTCTTATTTCAATACATACTTAGCGCGCATACAATAAAAATTCCTTAAATTTTCATTATCGTTAAATGCCAGCACGCGGTTTTTGTTAAAAATTAACTGTTCATTTATTAACTTTTCATTTATGCTGCGGGTTTTACTACTTTCTATAAGTACTTTCTTAATATCAGTGCTTGCTTGCTTGGCCCTATGCCAACGTCGTCTAACTTTCAACTGCTTTATCGACTTTCGCGCCTATTGGTATGCTACTATTTTTTTTTTATTTTTCATTCAACACTACACTGGCGTACACAAGTTGTGTGACCAACTAACTTACAACTTTGCTTTCTGCCTGCTCTGCTTAAAACCTATCAAATATGTATGTATGTTTTATTTTCTATCGCTACAAACTTACACATTTTTTTATTGTTGCTCTAATTTATGTGCAATTGGTTCTCTTGCTGCTTTTGCCCCGCCTACAAAACTTTCCCGCTAAAAATACTTTTAGTTTCTGTTTAGTAGCTTGTTTTTAAGATCCTTTGGGTTTGAGTTAAATAATAACTTTTTCTTTGCTTTGATTTTAAATAAATATACTAAAATTAGTATTTCTTTCTTAAAATTTTTTAAAGTTGTACAATATATTCTTGTTTTATCTCTGTCATACACTTTTTAACTAGCTTTTATTTAATTTGTTTCTAAGAAATAATTTACTAAGTTATTAATTTTAGAATAATCTCTTTGTTGAAAAAAAATAATTAAATGCGATTGCCCGCTTAATTTCAGCAAAACTTACAACATTTTCAGAATACGAACATCCACACATACCTTTAGAGTTACACTGTGCAAAAAGTGTAAAATAAAGCTCTTCGTACCCCTTCGAATCTAAATTATTTTGGCAAGGAAATTTGGAAAAAAAGTTTTTTTTGTGTCTTTTTACATTTTTTGTCGTATTTTCGACATTTCGAGTCGGATCTTAAAGTATGATATATCGATGTGACATTTTTTTTTTGTTCCAAAGTTCATTGACCTGAAGTACCCCGTCCCAATACTTAGATACCCACTTAATCTCAGTTTTTATCACCCTATAGTACCACCCTTATGGCAGTAAATTAAAGCTCACCAAAAACCAATAAACTTTTGCAAAGAAGTATTTGGTTATCCCAGTAGAACTCTTTAAAACTTTCTATTGCGTATTGTCGATGTCAACGCAAAATGTAAAATGCCCGAAAAAGTGCTTTTTTTCGAAATTGCCTTGAAATCATATTTTAGGCTCAGGGGTGTGCGAATTTTGTTTTTTGTTTGCTTGCAAAGTGGCACCGTCTAAGCTACATTCATATTTTACCTGGGTTCTTTCTGTTTGCCGCTTTTTTCGCAATCGATTTATTTCTAACAGCCACTCGATGCTGCTTATTTGCTCACAAGTGTGCTTAACTGTTCCATTCCATTTGTTAAAATTTTTCAGCTACAAACTTTTTGCTTGCATTACTGTTCCGTTTGTTGAAGTGTACGCATCATTTGTCTACTGTTTACTCGTAGTATCATTGCCTTGTATGTATTTCTACCAGTAAAATTTTCTTGTTACATTTTTCCATAATAATTTTTTTTTTTTTTGCCTAAACACACGAAATGCAATTTTTCGGTAGTATAATATTTGGTTTTAAATTTACTTTTTTTAATATTTTTTTTTGCGGTAGTACATTGATGATAGTTTCTTTTTTTTGCGACAGTTACTGTAAGCTAAGACATTCCAAAAGTCATTTTCGCTATTTTTTAAAATAATTTTTTTAGTTTCTAAATCATTTAATAAAACAAAAAAAAAATATTTCAACGTTTATATATTTTTAAGGATTTTCTTTTTCAAGCAGGTTCAAAACTTTAATTGATAGTTAGGTTTTGACAAATTTCATATTTTTCTGCAATGAAATTAAAATTTTACTAATTTAACAGTGTTTCTTTGTTGCCCTTGAAATACTTACTGGGTATCAGGATTTTTACTCAATGAAACCAAGTTTTTTGAAATACGATTAATTATTAAAATACGTACTAAAATTCTTCTACGACCAATTTAATAATTTTTCACATTTCACACCAAAAATGTCCCCGAAATATTATTTTATCATTGAAAAAAAATTGCAACTTAAAAAAAGTCTATACAATATTTATTACTACATAGTATAGTAACATAAAATATCTTCTTAATTGATCACCTTTTTATTTCTTTTCCTTAAGAATGTAATATTCTCAAAAACGAAAGAATTGGCGCCTGTGTGGGGGGGGG